ACAAAATTTCCTTCACGCGTGGCTGTTAGATCCCACTTTGGTCAAAGGTCCACCTCCAATCCAATGGCTATGAGGTCGTCTTCAACCTTTTGAATCTCTGAACTCCCTCCATCTGCGCGCGTTAGAGTCACCGCCGGTGACTTCTCCGATCAACCACTTACAACCCTAACTCTCTCTAGAATCCACCATTGGCCACGATTCCTTGATGAATCTTGTCCCAAATTTCCTCAGGAATTCACTCATGCCACTAGTTCATGCTAAAAACTCAAGATTTGCAAAAGCACGATCTCACCCGAAAATTGAATAAACCCTAATTGGTCACTAATCTCCAAATTAATGATCCAAAAACCTTCCTACATTAATCTACAATGCATTTAACCTAACAAATCCTCTTGATTCTACCTAAATCAAGCCATGGAATGAGAATTGCATACCTGGTAAAATTGAGTGAACAGAGTGGTTAAATCTTCAACTCAACCCTCAAGAACTTCCAGACTCCTTCACTAGCCTCGAATCAATCTTCTGTATGCAAAGAAAAGAGCTGAAACCTCGTGGATTCTTGAATCCGATTCTGAATTGCAAGCTTCCAACTCCAATGGCTAACTCACGATTCTTCCACAATTGTGCCTTGAATTCAATCTGGAATTGATCACCAACCTCAGAGCAAGCTATTGGGATCAAGAACTTGGCCTGAAATGGCTTCAAACCTTGTAACAGAATTGGATTTCCAAGAAGAAATTTCAAAGTTCAATCTCACTCTCCTCTCTCAATTCTCACCAACCCTGGCCTTGGATCCCTCATGATCATATATAGAACATGAATGAATTATCTAGAAAGTTCTAGATCACTCTAATGAGAAATTCAATATCTCATGTCATGGAAAGTTCAATCTCATGGTACACTCATGACAGTCCTTGTAGCAGCTTGCATTTGCCCTCATTCTCATCCAAATTCTCTCCACATGAGATTTTGAGTGTGTTTGGAATGTGTTTGCACCTTGGTTTTATCTTATGAGAAGTTTGGCATATGTACCTTAAGCCTTAAGTAACAAAATACAACTCCGTGATTTTGACCTCAAATGAGAAAAGTGCCATTGCCATTATCTTTAAAATGCATTTTACAATCAAAATGACATATAGGTTTGTCTCATTTGGTCACCAAATGAAAAATCACAAATTTGGTCCTTTTAATGAACTTTAATTCTTCCTTTTTAAGCCAACTTTGAAATTTTGAGTTACAAGCAATTCCAACCCCTCATAACCACTTGACTAGCCTTAAAACATCATTTTGAACAAACTTGATGTTGGACATTTTCCCATTTGAAGCTTGCAAATAGGAGTTATGGCCTTATGCTTGAAATGACCTATAATCTTCAAATACCCAAAATACCCTTGACTTGTCAAAGCCATAACTTGAGTTCTATAAATCCTATCAAGGAATTATAGTACTCTCTAGAAATCTAAGAGGATAAGGAACAACATTCATGTTGACCAAAAGTTCATAGGAGTCATCCTTCTAGGGAAAACGTTTCATGCAAGTTGGGCAACTTTCAAGCTCCAAATTCACATTCATCTGATGACTTGTAACTTGTCAAAGTCCTAACTTGAGTTATAAAAATCCTATCAAGGACTTCTAGCACTCAAATTAAAGCTAAGATCATGCTCTACAATAATCATGTTGGGGGCAAGATGAGATGACAATCACATCGTGAGCTAAATTGCCTTGAAGATAGGGGTCAAACTAGGGGATTTTACACTATCAAGTCTTAGAAACCCTAGCTTGAAACTTCTCAAACTCTTCAATCATGATGAGTTAACCTTGGAATCATCCTTATAACATATCAATGCATCAATCCATGATCACATGGCTCTTGAATTAGGTCTCAACCGTCTTCAAATCATCAGTTGACTTAGGGTTGACCCAGTCAAACCCTAACTGCACCAATCATGGTTGAGTCTTCTTAAACTTGCACAATGACCTATCTAGGCCTCAAAGTGATCTTCAACACTTCTCATGAGCTCTCTCAAGACCTCAAGTCTAACTTCATGGCTTCAGAATTATCTGATGACTTCCCACAACTCTCAAGTTAGGAGACACACCCTATTGGCTTCAATCACTCTCTCTGAGGATATTTTAACTTCTCTGACAAGGATATCAACCCTTGAACACTTGAATAACCTTCTTAGCTAGCTTCAAACTCTTATGTAGCCCTTGATTGGTAATCATACCTCTTGATCTCCTGCATACTTGTCAATGAAATGCAAATGATAATGATAATGTGAATGAAATGAAACATAAGCTAGGTAAAGAAATGCTGGGCAAATTTTGGGGTGCAACACTCTCCTATTCACCTCTCAAACTAACCTAAGTTTTAATCACAAAAATATGACAAAATTCCTAAGGGTACATGCTTCCCTAATCTAATCAACCTCACAAGAATCAATAAAAAAATCAAACACCAATCTCTCATACTAAATTCAGAAAAAAGAGGTATCAAACAAAATGTAAAATAAATCAATAATATTGTAAAATATACCAAAAAATATAAAATACATGAAATTAATATTTTTTAGTTTCATAATTTTCTAGAGGTCCTAAGAGAACTAGGGAAAAAAATCCCATCCTAAAATGATTATTTTTCAAATTGTTATGAATTAATTTCTAATCCTAGGTAAAACATGAAAAATAAAAGAAAATCAACTAAAAATTAATAAACTGGCGTGGTGAATAGCAATTAGGTTCAGTTATAGATCAGAGTTGGGCCCAGGAGGGGGTGTGGATATCAAAACATGCACTAGGCCCACCCAGTCAGAAAATACCATGAAAAAATCAGATGAAAAAGGAAAAAAACTGTGTCAAATAGCAATAAATCCATGTGTTATTTTCAATTGGGCCTTGGAATGAGGTGTGATTAGCAAAGTCATCTAAGCCCAAAACCAATCACTCACACGGAGAGGGAGGTGCAACGGGGAAACCAGGGGTATGCTTGGCAAAAACAATGGGCCTAAGGCCCGAGTCCAACATCACCCAACCTTCAGTAACAAAACCCTAATTCTACTCACTTTCCCCTCCTATTGTTCACTACTTCCCCTACTGAAACCCTAACGGCGCATATCCACTCTCTCCATCCTCCCTCTCTGATTCTCTCAAACCTCGCTCAAATTCTTCACCACACTCGTTCAGATTCCTTCACCAACCATGCTCATCAATACCTATCACAAACTAACTGCTTCAATCTCGCAGTTCATAATACTTCCCTAACCTAAGTTCGTTTCACAACCTATCACTCAAACTAACCTGACTCTCCGACTAACAACAAGCTATGACGGTATAACAAGTTTATAGAAGAACCTGGAAATGCTATGAAGACGCTGATTTTCGGAAGCAGCTGATGAAGATGGCGAGATTTAGGATGCATGAAGATCTGCGAATCTTGGAGCTGGACGATGAAGATCTAACGACTTGATGAGTTGAACGATCATCGTCGAAATCGTTGAAGGTTGCTTGAAGATTTGAAGAACTCAAGCTATATATGCAATGATCTCTTTGACGGTGTTCTTGAGGGCGATCGAAGATTTGGAAAATCGGACGAAGATTTGAAGAGCTGGTTGAAGATCCTTGTTGAAGGTTCTTGAAAATCTGGGAAATACTATGAATCTGGAAAAACTAGAGATGTGGGATGAAGATCTTGAAGGATCTATTGAGTTTCTGGCAAAACCGATGATGAACACCTGAAGAACATTGAAGAAGGTTGATGAATCGCAGATTCCGGCGGATATGCGTTTTCCGGCGAGTGGCTGATGAAGATCGATCGTTGAGGATGATGAAGTTTGGATGAGTTTCTGGAAATTTGCAATTTCCGGTGGAAATTCAAGTTCCGGCGATGGTTAGGAGATTTCCGGCGGTGGTTGCATGGCCGGCGGTGGGGAATAGCGACCGTGGACGCGTGGCACAAGGATGTGTATGGTGAAGACGCGTGGCTGAGGGAGAGAGAGGGAGGGACGCGTGTGAGAGGAGAGAGTCAGTGGATTGTGAGGTGGCGGAGAGAGAGTGGGACCGAGGGTGATGTGGCAGGATAGGAAGTGTGGAAAAAATGAGGTGGAGAGAGAGAAAGAGAACGCGTGGCCTACCCTTTATACGACATGTGGCAGAAATTGGGCACCCAAATTCGGACAGCTGGCCCATTTAGACTAAACTCAAATTTAATGTGAATTAACTGGACTTAATGGGTTGATTAAAACATGATAAATGCTGGGTTAAAGAACTAATTAAGTGGCTAAGCAGACTTAATAATAAAACGAAAATGATGATTAATATGCTAATTAACTAATGAAAATGATTAATGCTAATTAAAAAATGATTAAAACTAATCTTAATTAATAAAATACACCATTAATGATCTAACTAATCTAAAAACTATTTAAATTCTATATAAAATCTATTTATTCTAGAAAATAAAACCTATAGAAAACTATTAATTCTATATTAAACATAAAATCTATATTAATAAACCTATTAATTTCTAGGAACACTACTAAAACTATTTAAAATTCTATAACAATCTATTGAAAATTCTAGAAACTATTTGAAAAAAGAATTATCTATTTAAAAAATCTAGAAAAAGCTATTTAATATCTAAAAAAATATCTATTCAAAACTATTAAATTCTATTAAAAAATTTTAAAAAACCTATTTAATATCTAAAAAACCCAAATAACTATTAAAAATCTATTAAAAATCTATTAAAAATCTAGAAAATAAAAGGGAAAAATCTAAAAATGCCAGGAAGCCGATTAAATCGATTAGAGAACAATTACGCAACCATAACGAAGTAGACGGTAAAAGCCGGACACCGAAATGTCCTAAAAAACAACAGCGCAATCTGAAAATACCGGGACGAGCACAAGTTCTCAAAATAAATCCTCGTATTGGCCTGAAATGCCCGAAGCGCGATCAGAGGGCTGTGATCTCGATAAAATCAATCAGACTGAGAAAATGCAATGTATGCAGTATGCGAATGCGAATGCAAAATGCGTCGAAACATAAACCAGATGTGGGAACCAGTTGGTCAAATTTTGGGGTGCAACACAAATATTATGGAGTTGGTAGGACTAGGGTACACTGGATGGTTTCTCTACCGGTACCTTCTGTTTAAGGTATGCCAAATGCATATCATTCATCAATATGTTGTTTTCTTAAATAGTGGCATGATTATCAATGAATTCAACTCATAAAATACATATGCAATTGCCATTTTGTATGTATATTGCTTAAGTTCCAAACATAAAGTTCTTGCATTTTATGAGAGACCATATTAGAATGTCTATGTGTACTTTCTTGCATTGGATATCCTGTTTCTGCAATCAGAATCTGATTCGTTGTTCTATTGATATAACTGTTTTTTTGTACAGTCTAGCAGAAAGGAACTAGCTACGGATATTGAGGCACTGAAAAAGAAAATTGCCGGAACGGAATAGAACTGTATTAGTAGCAAGTCAAGTTGATGTTCCTTGCTCATCATTTGTTTGTTTTGCTGTATGTCTTGTTATATGAGAGGCCTTTGTATCCCTTCTTGATATAGAATAGAATTTGCTCATTCTCAATCAGTATCAACCTGTATTAATCCATTTCATAGTTGAAAATAATGCAACAAATCTTATATATATGGTTATGACTCTTAATGAAAACCATTCATATTTTTACTTGTGAGACACATCGCAACCACGAGGTGTTGGCTGCTGCCAAATGAAATGCTGGTGTGTAGGATAAATTCCAAATTGGTTTTTGATATAAAATATAATATGATGATCTTGTTCAGATTTTTTAACCATGAGATTTTACTTTTCAAAAACATATATTTTAATCATTTGCATTTATTTTTCATTACCATTACTTTTTCAAAACTAATCTTAGATATTTGTTTTTATATTATTATATTTAACAATAATTATAATATTTTAAATATAAATTAAACAAAACTAAAAACAAAAATTAAAAACATGAGAGAAAAATTTCCTGCGAGTTTACCTGCGGATTTTTAGTTTGCTGCGACATTTCCTGCGAACATTTTATTTACCTACGTTATTTGTCAAAATCCGCAGGTAAATTTGCAGGAAAGCAGAGTATTTCTAGTAGTGAATGGTAACAAAAATCAAAAGGATATTCACGACAATATTTAACTGTTGTCATTTCCAATTTATGTCAGTTCCAACCAGTCGTGAAATAGAGTTCACTACAGTTTTAAACCGTCACAAGCAACAATGAAAATAAAAATCAAAAGGCTAGTAACGACGGTCTTTAACCGTCGTTATCTCCAGTTTAAGTAAGTTCAAGCCCGTCGTGAAATATAACGACGGTTGTGTGTGACGGTTTTTTCAACCATCGCTAAACAGCCTGGGGACACACGTTTCTGAGATGGTACTACAACCGTCGTAGAATGTAATTGGTGGTGGTTTTAACCGTCGTAACCTGCCAAAATAACCGTCGCAATCCATCATTTTTCTTGTAGTGAGTCATGGTTGAGGGAATCGAGACCGTGCGCGTTTGATTCACTTAATGACCTTTCAAAACTTCTTTGAACTGCTTGGACTATGGACTATGACTTTTGAGGCCCAATAAAATTATCCTAAAGTATATATATTATATATATGTAAACGAAAACTAATTATCATTGTATTATAATTTTTTCTTTAAAAATTAATATTTGATCATATTTTTGAATTTTTTTAAAAAAGATTTACTTTTATATAATCTTACTTTCAATATTTTTTGGAAACATGAATTTATTAATTTAATATTGCAAAATATTTTATTTTTTATTTACTTTTTACTATGTCTAAAGCTTAGAAATTTTTATATTAACGATTTGATTAAAAGAAAGTCATAGTCAATATTCTCTTTTTCTAGAAAATTAAAACAAGAAATTCACAATAAATATATTTCTGTTTTAGAAAGTCAACATACGAAATTCTTAGTCAATATCATATAAATTTTATGCATAATAATATCATATATAAATATAAATGTAGTGTTCTTATTCCAATAACAGAAAAAAAAAATAGAGTTTAGTGCTTTTACAATTAGGATGAGAAGTATTACAATGTTAATGAACAAACTCGAGTTTTATTTTTCTTGTTGTGAGTGATCTCTTGTTCTACTATTGCCTCATCCATTAGATCTAGAGGTATCAATTCTTTAATATTACTTCTCCAATTCTTCTAAACTAAAATTATTAATTTTTAATTAAATTTTGTTTTTATATAAACTTAATTCATATACATTGGGAGTATATTATATATATATATATATATATATATATATATATATATATATATATATATATATATATATATATATATATATATATATATATATATATATATATATATATATATATATATATATATATATATATATATATATATATATATATATATATATATATATATATATATATATATATATATATATATATATATATATATATATATATATATATATATATATATATATATACATATATATAATTGTTTTTAATTATAGTCATTAGTGTTTTCTTAAATATTTAGTTCTAATTTTAAATATATTTCAAATAATATTTATGAATGGTTGTAATGCATGAAATAGTATATTTACATTTCCGCTGACAGAAGGAAGGTATGGAGGGAGCTCGCTAAAATTAAAAGTAATTTATCAGGAGCTGGCTGGATCGTGGCGGGAGACTTTAACGAGGTTAAGATTGAGGAGGAAAGAAAAGGTATAAGTACTAACAACATGAAATATATGGAGGTTTTCAGCGAGTTTATCGCTGAGATGAATTTAACGGATCTTCCGGTGATTGGTAACAAGTTTAATTGGTTCAATTCCAATGGCAAATGCAGAAGTAGATTGGACAGGTTTTTGGTGGATGATACTGCAATATCAATGTTGTCTCTGATAAATCAATTGGTGGGCGATAGAGATATTTCAGACCACAGGCCTGTGTGGTTGAAGTCGAACTTTGTGAACTAGGTGCCAAAACCTTTTAGGTCCTTCAATTGTTGGTTCTCTCATAAGGATTTCATTCCATTTGTTAAGCAGTCGTGGAGTTCCTACCATGTATCAGGTTCTTACTATAACATTCCGATAAAGAAATTATCTGCCTTAAAAAGTGACATTCGGATTTGGAACCGTAATGTTTTCGGCTGGCTAGACTTAAAGTTAGAAGAGAAGGTTTCTAACCTTAATTTGTTAGAGTTGGACATCGACTTGATCTCTATCTCCAACAACGAAGAGTTGAACAAGGATAGATTGAGAAACTAAGAGGAGATGTGGAAGAATCTCAAGTTAAAAGAAAGCATGTTAGCTCAAAAATCCCGTTTAAAGTGGCTTCAAGATGGGGATCAAAACTCCAAGTTTTTCCATGATTCGTTAAAAACTAGATATTGTACGAACTGTCTATCAGCTATTAGAGTGGGAGAAGGGATAGAGGAAGATCCCGAAGCCATTAAATGCGAAGCAGTGAAGTACTTTAAGGAGAGATACAAGACTAATTCAGCGCCAAAGTTTACAATCGACTTCGATCATATTGTTTGCTTAGATGAGGAAGACAGGATATGGCTGGAAGCTGATTTTTGCCCTACAGAAGTCAGATCTGCTGTTTTCAGTTGTGACGGTAATAAATGCCCCGATATCGATGGTTTCAATTTCAAATTCATTAAGTCTTGCTGGGAGATTTTGGGCGACGATTTCTCGAATTGCATTTTGGAATTCTTCAAAACTGGTTACCTTCCGAAATCCTTCACTTCTTCTTTTATCTCGCTTGTCCCAAAGACTAAAAATCCCCAACAATTCGAAGGCTTTAGACCTATTAGTCTCGTCAGCTGTGTGCTGAAGGTTATTTCAAAGATGCTCGCGTGCAGGCTTAGGAAGGTTATTCATAAAATTATCTCTCCTTCTCAAACTGCTTTCATCCCGGATCGGCAGATTTACGATGGTGTATTGTTGGCTAACGAGGTGGCTGATTTTACAAAGAGATTCAATAAGGAATGCTTTTTCTTCAAAGTAGTTTTGCTAAAGCTTATGATTGTGTGGATTGGCTTTATCTAGATGCTTTGCTTGTAAAGATGAGGTTTGGAACAAAGTGGATGAAATGGATCCGTGGTTCTATTTTCAATAGCTTCGTCTCCATTCTCGTCAATGGCAGTCCGTCGAAGGACTTTAGGGCTGGCAGGGGTCTAAAATAGGGTGACCCTCTTGCTCCTTTCATGTTCGCTATAGTTGCAAAAGGACTGTCTAGCTTGGTGAAAACAGCGGTTGCCGGTAATATGCTTTCCCAATTCATGATTCATGGTCAACCAACAGTGAGTATTCTCCAATTTGCTGATGATACTCTACTCATTAGAGACGGGTCGGCGTCGAATATTTGGGAATTCAAATCAATTCTTAGGTCCTTCGAGTTAATTTCAGGTCTCAAAACTAATTATTCCAAAAGTTATTTGTATGGGATTCATATTGAACCTAACTTTTTAGTGGCTGCTGAAGTTTTTCTTCATTGTAAATCGGGAAAGTTGTCTTTTAGCTTCCTTGGTATCATTGTTGGAGGTAACCATCGGAGATACTCTTTCTGGAAACTGGTTTTACTGTGTCTGAAGAATAAACTATCCATTTGGAATGGGAGAAACTTATCTATGGGGAGTAGAGTTACCCTTATTAATTCGGTTCTTGCAAATCTGCCTATCCATTATCTGGATTTCTTCAAGGCTCCTCAAAAGGTCGTGAAAGATTTAATAGTGATCCAACGACGGTTCTTATGGGCTGGGAACTCGAGCAATTCTTTTATCCCTTGGGTTTCTTGGAATTTTGTTTGTAAATCTAAGGAAGATGGCGGTTTGGGTATTAAGCATGTGGGTCGGTTCAACAATGCCTTGTTGGCAAAGTGGCTCTGAAGGTTCCAAACTGGCGGCAATGAAATATGGAGGAACACCCTCACTATCAGATTCGGCAACCTTAGCATTAAGACGCAAACTTACTCCGATGTTGATAGTTCAAAATCCGATTCATTGTGGATGAAGGATATTATGACCAATGCGTCACTAAATTTTCATACCAACTTCTGCAAGTTCACGGTCTGCTCCATTGGTGAAGGTAACAATGCGGTGTTTTGGCAGTCAGTCCGGATCAGTGACATGGCGTTAAAAGTCAGATTTAATGGCTTGTTTCAGTGTTGCCTTTTGAAGTCAATGTCAGTTCGTGATATGGGATATTGGGAGGATGGGCAGTGAAATTGGAATCTGAGAAATTCGTTGTTGGATTCAGACAATCCTCCTGAACCAGATTGGTCTGACTGCTGTAAGTTGCTGGAAAATATCTCAGTTATCCCGGGTGAATCCGACAAATGGCGGTGGAGCCTTCATGAATCTCTAATTTTCAAAGTTAGTTCTTTTTATCCAGTCCTATATTCCGCCTTATCTGAACAAGACATTGTTTTAGATTGTGCATCCCATATTGAGTCCATCTGGAAGACGATTATTCCGACGAAAGTGCAAACACTCAGTTGGAGATTGACGCTTGATAGATTGCCTACGAGATCTAATTTATTGAAGAGAATGGTGATTGATTCAGAGCAAGATTTGGATTGTGTGTTTTGTTCTAGTAGCCTGGAGGACGTATCCCATCTTTTCTTCTCGTGCTATAAATCTACTCAGGTTTGGAACAAGATCTGTGAATGGGCGGATATAGATATAATCTCGGAAAATTGTTGTTATTCTCACGCTAAGGTGTGGAACACAAGCCTTAGAGGTCGGTGTCAAGCGAATAGAGTAAATTCGATTTGGTTTATTACTTGATGGAATATCTGGAGGTCTAGAAATGATTGTATTTTTAATAATGTAGTTACTGAGGTCGACAGTATTGTTTTCAACATAAAACTCAATTCTTGGAATTGGTTGATTCTAGGTAGGAAGGGGAGCAAGCCGTGTTGCTTGTACGATTGGTTCAAATTCCCTTTTGACTTCTTGTAATTTGTATCTTGGTTTGAGATTTCCTTAATCTCCTTTTTAATATTATCAACTTATCAAAAAAAATCTTCATTTCATTAATACCTACTAATTTTTTTGTTATTGTAGAAGTTATATATCCTGTGATTTTCAAATATGATACTGATATTCAGGAATAGCCAACCATCCTCCTTAATGCTATTTCATAATGTATATGGTTTTTCCAATATATATTACATGTATTATTATATGGTATTGTTTCAAGGTAAAAAATATATTATTATTATTATTACTAAACTATAGTTAATTATTAATATTTTGGATTAAAAACTTTTATATTATTATATAAAATTACATTTGATAAAATTGACAATTGTAGTTGTATTAACTTATTAATAGTTTATAGTTAACAATCATATTTGTTTCCAGCATATTGAGAAAACTGAAGAGAAGTTTGTGCCTCAAATAAAGTTAAATAAAATTAAGGGTTTGTCATCAAGAAATATTTTTAGTAGAATTGGTTCACAACCTCCAAGTTGCGTAACCGGTTGTGACAGTTGTACTTCTTGTGAACCTATGTTTGTGTCAGCGCCACCGAAGAGTCCAAACCGCAAATAAGGAAATGGAAATGCAACAATATGTTATATGATCCACCCATGTAATAATTAATATGATATATATTTTTAACATTCCTTAAAATATATAGTAGAGATTCCTTTTAATAAGCTTTAGAGTTCATTTTTATGATACCTCAAGAAATTTGTATGTTAAAGAACGACTGATTATCTACTTAGTATATTTCCTTGGACTATAGTTTGGTCCTCTTTTGTATCAATAAATAAATTATTATTGAAAAAAAGAACTCATGTTCAATTAGAATATCCAAAATTTGATTGTATACATTTTTTTGTCGTATTGCTTGTACCTAGTATTTTTTTTAATAATTAATAAGAATTTTAGTCTTTTAAATTATATATATATATATATATATATATATATATATATATATATATATATATATATATATATATATATATATATATATATATATATATATATATATATATATATATATATATATATATATATATATATATATATATATATATATATATATATATATATATATATATATATATATATATATCAGTAATTCTAAAAAGTATACCGAGTAGAGCCACAATTGAATCAATATTAGAAAACTATTTTTTTAATTTTTAATATAATATATTAATAATAATAAGAAGAAATTATATTAGATTCATATCTTTTCAAATCAAATCCACTTAAATAAAATATTGGAAGATTGATTTAACATTCCGACTAATTTGAACAATTATAGTTTCCCTTATTTTATGAATTATTTTAAAAAAATGGATAAAGGTAAAACTGTTTTTTTTTTTTGCAGACAAATTAAATTGAGTTATAAGATAGAATTTTTAATCCAAGTTATTTTATTAAGTAATTAGGGTTTAATAATTTTCAACTTTGTTCAAATTAATATTTAAGCAAAATGGCATATGTGAAATTAAATTAATTTAATTCTATAGCAAAATGAACATTTTATTTTGAAGGGAATTGTGGTAATTTTCCGAATATTTTGTGGCACATCAAGCCAATTTAAGAATAATTAAGGTTTAATAAGTTATAATTAATCTATTAATTCATATTGTAATATCACATTGTATAATAATAAGGAAAAATAGTAAAGTTGATTGGAGATTATATATACAAGAAAGAGTGAATCGAGACGGAGACTTTCATTTGTACTCCATTTCTTTCTCAATAAAATGAGAGAAAATGGGTTAAATGCTGAAGATTTTGCAAGTCACCACTTGTATCCATCTCCATTTCTCCACAATTGGTTAATTCTTGTTAAGTTGACATTACAACCACTAGAAAATTTCACATTAAATAGGCTTGAGAACTGGTTGATTGAATTGTAAACTAATTTAAATAATTGAGTCGTAAGTTTAGTTTATGGATGATACATCCTGCATGATATTAATCTTGTAATATGAGCATATATCTTCATGTATATTAAATTTGTTGTGCTTATTTTTTTTCTATCAAAAATTAGACTTAAATGTTTTCAACCTAAATATTGGTGTAATCAATTATATTTATAAATATTAGAGAAAAATAGGTAAAAGTTGGCATCATTTATGCTGTCATATTTTGTTTATGAACTTTATATCTTGTTTTTAGGTGTTGTACTAAAAAAGGCACCTTCTTACAAAATTAAAATAATATTTTTAAATTAGAGATATTAATATTATTTATTTGACTATTTGTTTTCTTAAATATGATTCTATATGATATTTT